TTTAAAATTCGTGCTTCAGAGCTCAGAAAAATTGCAACTACAAGTGTATTTATTGTAATTCTTCGAACGGCAATACTCATATAATTCTGATCAATTTTCCATAAGGTAAGTCAATTGATCTCTGAATTATACAAATCTTGAACGATATTTGAATATTAAATAAATATGAGACATTCCATTTAGAAAATACTGTCAACATCTATCAGTTTTTAGACCGAGTGACTCATATTTTGTGCTATACTATTGCATTCTGATGATTGGTTGTTGAACGATTCAAGGTTTAAAAACGCTCAACTTTGACAGCTGATTATCTAGTAATATTTCAAAATCCCCATATCGGCAAACGACACATAATTCTGTCGGATTCGTCAATGAGGTAGACAGAACCATACTTTGTTTTGTTTTTTTGTACGCTACAGATTCATTTTGTACCTGCTAAAAGGTTATTTGCACACAAAAATAAGGTTACAAACAAGTTTACTAGATCTACACCCGGTTCATTATTGCCAACACAAAAATGGCACTTGCTGATCAGCTGTTCACCCGAGTAGGCGTCAAAGCGTGATGGATACTCGTGAAATAGGGTATACATATAGCGATTTTATATTTTAGGGTTGTACTCATGATAAAGTGAGGAGTAAACGTGACTCCCATCTCATTTAACAAGTTATTCTAAGATAACAGGGGAAAGTGGAAGAACATATGTGAGTCACATAAGTGGTGCACATCTGAACTTCATCCTTTGCCAAACTTTTTTTTTAATAAGAATGTAAGTTACTTGTTCATGTTTGACGAATAAAGACGTGTAGTCACATAAGTGGTGCACATCTGAACTTCATCCTTCGCCAAACTTTTTTTTTAATAAGAATGTAAGTTTACTTGTTCATGTTTGACGAATAAAGACGTGTAGTATCATTATTATTATTATTATTAACGCCCAGCTGCCATCTTGAAATTTTCAATTTACACTTTTATGCCTAAATACAGGTATAGTATTTATGCATCAATTTCATCAAATGTGAGCTTGCCAGCTTGACTCTTTCATAAGATAAGTATGGGAAATTTTTAAAAAGCTGAATAGAATCAACAACTTATGTATTCCTCTGAACCAATCTTCCATAGTCTTCCAAATTAGTTAAAGTATAGATGAAAGATAATGATTATTATACTGGAGCAGCTTTGATAACTTCATCAGCCTTTCAAAATCCAAAATGTCAGATTTATCCGAACAATGGTTTTCAAAGGCTTTTCAACTCGCAAACTCATTTGGCCAAATGATTAGTCAAAAAAAGTGTCGCTCAGCTGTATTTGTCAAACTAAGTTAGTTAACTGTTTCCAACTGTCCACAACCATAAAAAATTTGTTGATAGAACAGTCTTATTAATAATATATTTACATTGAACTTTAAAAAGGATGCTATAGCATTTGAAATGTTAATAAAACTCATTTATTCGTTATCTGTGGTTTCATTTGTTAGCAAGATTAATAAAATAACTTATATCGTTGTCGATTCTATGCTTTTCTGCACCGGAAATAATATCACTGTTACATGACAGATAAGGAATAAGAAAAATCGTCCAAACTGACATACCTATATGACACAGATACTTTTACATCTAAAATGAATATGTTTTCAGTTATCTGCATATATTATTCATACAATACCAGCACATTGGCAAAATGCTTTTGAAGAGTTAGTTTCTAGTTTCCAACCCCATCATCTGCCTAATGTAGAACCTGAGAGGGTGGTATGGATTCTTTTAGAGATTTTAACTGTGATACCAGAAGAGGTTTGTTTTATCCAATATTTTTTAGCATCTAAGATTTTTATTATTATGTAGTAGAAAACTTTGATTATGACTTTCAAAAATAGACATATATAAATGGCTTCGTATTTAAATTTATGTTTTTATATACTTTGTTTCCTTATTGAATATCAATATTTAGAAAGGGCGATTTTTGGGTCCATTTTAAAAAGAAAACTTCATATGGACTTATCTGTCTTAACTATTGAGATACAGGGTGTTAAAGTTTTCAAAAATAAATAATTTATTATCAACATCTATAATACTACTATAGATATTTTAATGAAATTTAGCATACTGTTTGTTTTAATTTACCACAATTTTTTAGTTCCACAAGTGACGTTGGTTCGGAATTTCACTTGCTTATTTTTGCAGTCATTGATGATACGCAACTGATTTCTCTTAAAATAAAAAATATTCTTGGAATCCCCAATCGGACCATTTCTAAGCAAATTTGACCGCTTGATTTTTAATCTGATGTACTGTTTTTAACACGCTTTTTGCTTAAAAAAACCGTTTCTCTGCATGCTTATAGCAATATCGCTACTATGACAATATCACCATGCAGAAAAATAGATTTTATTTTTTGTGTGAAAACCGTGCGTCGCACTAAAGTTAAATCAAAAAATAAAATCTCTCATAAGTGAATAAGGATTTCAAAAATACACTTCAGTGTAGTAATCGTACTTCGTATTTTACTTAAGCAGGAAAGAATTATTACTTATAATAATTGTAGTAGGCCGCGGTTTTAAGAATAATTAATTATGTTTTCAACTCGGTTGTCATTTTGTTTGGTAATTAATCAGTTTTTAAATTTGTTCTTCGCGTCTTATTAATTTGATGTTTAAAATACCCCACCATTGTTATTTTGAACAATAATTTTCGAGTTTACTAATGAGGAGCTGGCAGATATGCATTACATGCATGGTTTGGCTGATGACAGAAGTCACTTTAAGGACGCAAAAATTCATACATTGTCGTTTGTCTCCTCTTTTTCTTTAAATCGTATTTCTAATTAGAAACAAGCTCCGTCTCTGTATCTCCCTGATTTTCTACAAAACTTTTGAGCTTCTTGGTCAGGTAATAGCTTTACCATAATTTGGAATGGCTTCTGTTGGTACTGGAACCTCATCGATATCAGAATCTTCAAAAAGTTTTTGTATTTTAACTGGATTTTCAATTTCTCGGCCTGAATTTGGATCTTCAACATACAAATTTTCATATAGGTTCAAAAAATTATAAAGGTTTTCATTATCAGTCAATTTCGATAAATCCTTATTTTTGAGGATATCTGTAAGTACATTTAAGTGGCAAGTACATTGTCTGGGTCAGGTGTATCAGCCTCATTTAATTGGTCTTCACTTTGCATATTTTCATGTTTCGGCATTGCGAAACCAATTTTGCAATGATTCCTTTTTACGTGGTCCCAAGCGGTTTTTGTCAAATAAACTGCATTCAGTGACGCAATTTTCTTTATTAATTCAGAAGCTGTACCAGCAGTTTCTATGTTTACCAGCAGGTGTTTGAGTCTCTTCAGTAAAAAAATATTTTGTTTTTATCCGGTTTGGAAAATATTCTCTCATGTCCGCGCCGTTCAAGAGAATGTCCGTCCATGAGAGAATTGAAACAGCGCAAATTATATGAGAGTCGGCCGGGACCATGAGAAACTGGCCGTTTAAAGGAAGTGTTCATGTGAGAGGGGTGTTCGCGAAGGGGAATTTTACTGTACTAGAAAAATTGGATATAATCTGAATATCTCGCACGTCTTAGTGTGGAAAATTTGTCACGATTTTTTGTTGTACTGTATCATATTCAACGGGTCCAAGGGTTACTTCCCCGAGACTTTCCCGTAATGTTTGTCAATGGTTTTTGGAAAAAATGCGCATAATCCTTTCTTTAACTGTTAAATAATGTTTACAGATGAAGCTTTTTCAGAAACGCAATCAGAAATGTCCACAATAACAATATTTGTGTCGACGAAAATCCCCACGCAGTTGTAGAATTTAACCATCAAGGACAATTTTGGTTTAATGTCTAGTTAGTTGTTGCAAATCACTTAATTTGACCTTTCCTGCCAGGATTATCACCGACATCAAGAGGAGGATTTCCCCAAATTTCTAGAAAAGTTATCAATTTTAATTAGAAACAGAATGTGGTTCATGCATCACTTTAGTGTTGCAGCAAGAGAATATTTATTATTATTATTATATATTATTATTTTTAACGATTGATAACTAAACCCAATTAACATAGTCCTAAATATTATTATAGAAAACCCAGTGACATTTCTTATGAAATGAGTATTAATTTATAAGCTTATCTTATCTCTTGACTTTTTTCAGTCTGATGCACAGTTTTCACCTAAAAATATTAAAGCTATTTCTCTGCATGGTGATATTGTCATATTAACGATATTCTTGTCACCATGTAAAGAAACGGTTTTAATTTGGGGATTCCAAGAATAATTTTTATTTTAAGAGAAATCAGTTGCGTATCATCAATGTCTGACAAAACAGGCAGGTGACATTCCGCACGAATGCCACTGGTAGAAATTGAAAAAAAATTATAGTAAAGTTATATAGTCTAGTACATGTATGCCAAAATTCATTTGAACATCTAAGTGGTATCACAAAGTTGTGTATGATAATAAGTACCATATTTAGGAATTGTCGAAAAAATCTGAAACCATTTTTGTATTTGGGTGTCTATAACTTGGAAAGTACTGCTCAGAGTTTGCTGAAACTATGGCGGAAACTTACTTCTATGACAAAAAATTTTTGAAATATCGAAATTTGGAAATATAAAAAATAATCGCTGAATGTAAAAGATTATTAAAAAAGGTTAACCAAAAAAACCTTTATGTAAAAAGTGTAAAATTTTGTTACCTGACAGTCGTTTATGAAAATTTAGCTTTGAAAAGGTGCAAAAACGTTTTTTCACCTAAAATCATCTGCCTTCTCACGCCATTTGCCGAGGAAGTATTGTAATAGCAAAAAAATTCGAATCACAGAATGCTACATCACATATTTCCGTTGGTCTTTCTGTTTACTAATCCTTGGCACGTTCATAGCTTTGAAAACACCGCTCGGATTATGATAGAACCTTGGTATAATGTTAATAATGTACCAAGAATGAAAAAGCTTTGTAACTCCATTTTCTGACGTTTCAGAGACATCTCATTTTATGAAATACTTTTTGAGTGGTAATAAATGGTAAAAAATTAATGGTGGGGGTTGCAGGGGATGGGGGAGGGTATATCTCTCTATATTTTTTGGCGTTAATATATTATACGCTTCTAACTCCTGCTGCCTACGCCATTATTAGATACATGTTATGCACCTAGATTTCCCCGCCTTTGAGACTTAGAATGGTATAAATATTTTCGATACCCGCGTCGATGGCAACGGAGATGGCACATCCGTTGGTTGGTTACTTATTGCAGCTCGAATAGAGTAAAGAGTGCCGGATTTCTAAAGGGTGTCCAGTGGGAATTTTTCAACTTTAAATTGCAATTCTGGAAATTCTAGCGGCGTGTTGCAAGAGGGAGGGATATCATTCGAAGCAGAGGATTCGCGGAATTGTTGGTCGCCACGAATCATTGTTTGGGGGCACACCACCCATTCGCGGCCGAGCTTTTTGTACTCATTTTAATATTCGACGACTGAATGATGGACCACGCATGCAACTTATTTGGTCGTGGGTAAAAATATTTATGGACGGACAGTTGTCAACGGAACCCTCCGAGACTATCAACCTCAGCAACAATGCCAGACCATGTGTCTCAAGTTGGAAATGAAATTATTCGGAATCCACGTAAATCAATAAGGAAGATTGCGGCCTCTACAGGAATAAAAAAATCAACAGTGCGTGTTATTTTGAAAAAGAGAAATTAAAGCTCTATCCATACAAAATGCAAATTGTTCAGGGTGTCAACGAAAGTGACAATACTTCGCAAGAATAATGCTGGAACGTTTTCGGACATCACACACGCTTGGAACCATTTCATTTAACATAGTGACTAAGCACATTTCCATATCGATGGTTATGTTAGTAGAAAAAAAACATACGATACTGGTGCCCCAACAATTCTAAAGAATGTCATCAAAAACATTTACTTTGTTTAAAAACTACAGTTTGGAGTTCCATTTCAGCCAGCGGGGTAATTGGCCCTTATTTTTTAACCAAGGAGTAACAGTCTCTGTTCCGGTGTATTGACGTATGATAGACGGGTTTATGTTACCGCAATTATAGCTGTATCCAGGTTACAACAACAAAACGTTATTTCAGCAAGGATGCATACAGCTAGGGTGTCGATGGAAAGGTTAAGGGCAATTTTTTTGTACAAGCTCACTAGGAAGTACAGAGACATTCCGGGGCCGCATTGATCGTCAGACCTCTCGCGATTTCTTTTTATGGGGATGACTCAAATAATAGATTTACAATAACAATCGTCGAACAATTGAGGCCCGACTGTAAAAGTACATTAGGAAAAATTGACAATATTTAGACGTTTTTAAAACATGAAATCCGCATTATTATGCTCCATTTTATCGAAATAAAAATAAATGAAAACAATGTAGTTTCCTACTCTTTGAGAAACAGACAAGAAAACTTGATCAAAACGTAGACGTAAGGTATATACAATATCTAGACATTAATTGGAATGAGTATCATTTCCAATTTGAAAATAAGTGTTATGCCTGTTGATGATTTTTACATATTTCGTAGTTTCAAAGTACCACACTTGCTCTAAACCAAAGAAACAGAGTGAGAACGGTCCTGCAGGATGTATCGAAAGATATTCTCAAAGTTGTTGAGATGTGTTTGATGCCAATGCCTAATGCAGGGTAAGAACTATTGTGATACCATATCCTAGTATATTCGATATTCTATGTTTCCATTCATTTTAGTTTGAACATGTCAAATTTGACAACATATTTGAATGCTTCAAAATGTGCTGCTGCTTGGATACAACTAGGAGGACTCAGTATTGATGAGTGTGTAATTATTATTGACTTATTACTTGACTTAACCTGTTTTGTTTACTGGTAAGCATACTTATAATGTATAAATATTGATTGAAGCTAAACTATTTAATCGACTGTCTTACAACTTAGAATAAAGCTTTACCAAACATCATACAGTTTGTGTAACTAAGTCTAAAACATCTGATATGAAAAATTACTAACAATTCTTGTGATTATTAAAAAATGCAAGAAAGATGATTGTAATTTTACTACACATTTGAAATAGGTTTGTGGATAAAATTGGGCGACTTTGGTCGATAGAAGGTGGCCCAACGGAAAGGTCGCACATCCATTTGCGAATCTCTGTTTAGCATCAGCCCTTGTTGACTTCATCTATAATTAGACCCTTTGAAAATAATTTTGAACGTCTACACTAAAATATGAATTGGACACATTTGTCTAGAAGCTTTACAATAAAAATCATCAGGCATCAATTGGATAGTCTGGCAATGCTTCTGAAAATAAAGGCAAAATGTGTTTACATTTTCATTGTTTGGCAGTGTGATACAAATTGTCAACGTCAAAGCAAAGCATCAAAAAACAGGATAGGTTTCTATCGTCGCGTTCCCGTGCACATTTGCTGGAGCAGTTCGTGAGCGTAACACTCCAGGTGCATACAACTCTGAATTCAAAAGCACTGAAAAGAGGCTCTGTACAGGATACAACTTGTCCATGGGCTTAATGAAGACTTTTTTGATAGAAGTTTGGAGTTTTGCGAATTAATGTCCCAACGTTCAATCAACAATGCAAGTCTGTTATTTAATATTTGTTTCTCGGATGAGTGAACGTTCTATTTACATGGTGCTATCAATGGATATAATTGTCTATATTGGAGTGACTCGAATCCACATTTGTTTCGAGAGGTAGACTGGCAATATCTTGACAAAATAAATGTGTGGGCCGGCATTTTCGGAGATTTTTTTTTTTTTTTTTTTTTTTTTTTTTTATATCGAAACAGCCGCGCAGGCAGAAGCCTAAATGCCGGAACACCGCGGCTGCTATGATGATCCCAAAGAAATTTTGTTAATACGATTTTTGAACTGCCTAAGGTTAGTAGAACTGGGAAAAGCTTCCTCCCGTAGATTGTTCCACAATCTAGACACCCTCGGGACAAAGGAGCGGTCGTATCGGCCAGTTCTGGATGTACAAAGTTTGACACGGTTAGGATGGGATGCCGAAGTCAGGCGGGTCTGTCTGGCAGGCACATCGCGCGGCGGCATCATGGAAGAGAGCTCTAAGGAGCAAAGCCCGTTGGTGTAGCGATAGAAAAGAGCTAGATCGCCGACGGCCCGCCGGTGCGAAAGAGTCCCGAGACTGTCTGTTAGAGAAGAGTCATCGATCAGTCGGACCGCCCTCCTCTGGACAGCATCGAGCATGGACAATGTAGTCGGGGCGGCAGCACCCCAAATGTGTGAGCAATACTCGAGGCTAGGCCTTATCTGGGCCTTGTATAGAGTGAGAAGGTCATGCGGAGAAAAGTACTTCTTAGCCCTAAACAAATAGCCCAGCTTTTTCCCAGCAGCTGCAGCTATTGAAGAGATGTGTTCGTGCCAGATCAGGTCCTCGGTGATCTGGACTCCGACCAGCCGAAATGAGTGGCTCTTTGGTAGAACTCGACCGTCCATCGAAACTGTATGAGCGCTAGGACGCTTTTTGTTCGTCAAGGTACAGTACTGTGTTTTGGAAGCATTGAACTGTACAAGATTGTTGCGTCCCCAAGCAGTGATAGCCTCCAGGTCTCTTGTCAGAGAAGAAGTCGTCGCTAGTCTTCTTTTTTCCAGCTCAGCGGCAGAGATCGGCTTGTCACTCTGAATTCCTGCATGTAGAGTGCTGTCATCAGCGAAGCTGTGGATTGGGTTGATCGTGCAGGAAAGGAGGTCGTTGATATGTAAGAGAAACAGTGTTGGAGCCAAGACCGATCCCTGGGGAACACCCGCGTTGACGTTGTGGGATGACGAGGAGAATCCGTCAATTACGACGGATATCTTGCGGCCAGAGATAAAGTCAGCCACCCATCTGCAAAGCTTTTCTGGGAGGCCGTAGGATGGAAGTTTGCTTAAGAGGGCAGCGTGCCACAGCTGATCGAACGCTTTCGTGATGTCAAGAGCAACGACATGAGCCTCACCATGAGACTGGATGAGTTTACTCCACAGTTGCGTGACGTAAGCTAGGAGGTCCCCTGTGGATCGTTGGTGCCGGAAACCGTACTGCCTGTCGCTAATCAAGCTGTGACGTTCGAGGTAGTCCAGAAGCTCGCGATTTATGCACCTCTCCATCACTTTACTTATAACAGAAAGCAGAGCTATAGGCCTGTAGTTGTAAGGGTCGGTTTTAGATCCTTTTTTTGGGATGGGCTGTACATGAGCAAATTTCCAGTTTTCTGGGAAGGTGCCGGATTCATAAGATATCTGGAAGAGACGCGAAAGAACTGGAGCAAGCTCAGCTGCACATCTCTTCAGTACAATGGCAGGAATCAAGTCCGGACCAGAAGCTTTGTTGATGTCGAGCGACAAGAGCACTCGTCTTACGGTCTTATGCCTGAATGTTACCTCCCGCATAGTGTGGGGAACCCTTTGAATTGACGGCACTTGGGCGTTGGTGGGGACGTCCATGGTGGAGTTGGCAGCAAAGATCTTGGCTAGCACTTCTGCCTTGGCCTTTGAGTCGAATACAACAGTTCCATCCTGACACGTAAGTGGTGGAAGGCTACTGTGTGAGAAGTTCTCTTCAATCTGCTTGGCCAGCGTCCAGAAAGACCGACTGCCATTGCGCTGCGACATTACCCTGTGCCTAACTTTTATATCATGCTGGGTTTTGGCATTGCGAACCGCTTCGTTATATTTGTTTCTGGACTCGACGTCGGCTTGTCTGTTCTCTACAGTGGGGTTTTGTAAGTAGGTTCTGTGGGCCTTGATCTTCTGCTGGCGAGCAGTGTCACACGATTTGTTGAACCAGCCGTTGGACCCTGGTTTAGGAACTTTCACTGTGTGAGGGATGTATTCCTCCATTCCGACGTGGATAATTTCGGTTATTGAAGAACAGACAGTCGACACATCCGCGTCAGTGAAACAGACATCTCTCCAAGGAAAGCTAGAGAAGAAGTCTCTGAGCCCCTCCCAGTCGGCATGTCCGTAATGCCAAGTTTTGCGGCCTGTGCGAGTTTCTGCGGCCACAGCGGCTTCTGACCGAAACCTAACCTCCACAACACCGTGATCTGAGTTACCCAGGGGGGACAGGACGGCAGTGCTGTAAGGGGCAGGATGCGTGGTCAGAAAGAGATCTAGCAGGCTACTGGCGTGTGACGAGACGCGGGGGAAAAAAGTAGGGCTCGTCACCAGCTGGGTCAGCCCTTGAGTAAGAGCGAACGCTTCGACTGCACGACCTGCTGCATCGGTCTTGTTTGAGCCCAACCAAAGCTCATTATGGGCATTGAAATCACCGAGAAGAACTACCTCTGAAGCGGGGTGATTGATGTTCAGGAAGTCGATCTGGACGGCGAGGTATTCGAGTAGGTCATCCCAGTTATGGTTCGAGGGAGAGCGATAAAGGCAGCAAATAAATTTGGGTGATGTTTTGGAGTTGAGGCGAAGCCACAGAATGTCCTTCCGGTCTGATTCCAAAGAAAGATCCCTGGAGCAGGAAAGACTGCTGCGGACAAAAGCCACAACTCCCCCGTTCTTTCTCAGATTGGAGTGCACCTCGTAGTTTGGGAAGTTGAGATGGTTAATCGGTGCAGCCTCTGAGATTTTGGTCTCCGCCAAGAAAAACACGGCGGGACGATTGGATTGCAGGTAGTGATGAACAGCATCAATGTTGCTGTTGATCCCGCAGATGTTCGAAAAACAAATTTTATCTTCGATGTTGTTCCCTCGAGCCCACCCTCCACCCGGACATTCCGAGAGTGGAGTGAGTTTACGTCCGGAGTTTTTAGTGCTCGAGGGATCCATCATCATTAATTTCTTTGTTTTGGTAGATAACCGACTGCATAGCTTAGGTGTGGAAACATGCGGACATTTATAAGACACCCTGGGAAAAGCTAGCGGGTGGTACTGCCTCGGTCGACTGGTCCTTGTCTACCACCTTCTTTTTACGTGTTAGTGATGTTGAATAGACCTAAAGTGGCCCGTTGGCGGACTTGTACCGCCACCCGGCAATCGGTACTGAGGTATTCCTTAACGCGTGCGCAATCACTTGGACGGGAAGAAGTTGTATACTGGATACAACGACTTCCGGAACAAGCATTTGCCACGGCCCTCGCTCAGTAGGGCTCGAAGATATTGTAGGAGCTTTCTTTATTTCTGGAAATTGACGGGCGAAGCGTACTTGGACGTGTTAGAAAATACAATAGATCCACGAATTACCGAAATAATAGAAAATGACGATAATTATAATTAAAATTACATTCATTTCCAACAAGATGGTACACCGCCGCACGATGTCGCTCCAGTACGACAGTTTTTGGACACTCATTTCCCGAATCAGTGGATCGGCAGACGAGGCCCCATCGAGTGGTAGCCGAGATCTTCGGACCTAATTCCTAAGATTACTTTCTTTGGGAGGATTTGAAAAGTAAAGTTTTTGGTACGAAACCAGATTCTATTAAAGATCTTCGTCAGCTGATTACGGCTGAATGTAGACAAATAACTCAAGACATGCGTGAAAATGTGAGGAATAGATTCGAACAAAATCTTTATTATTGCTTGGAGGTAAATGGACACCACTTTCAACACTTATTACCACTACCACTACTTCTCTATGTCAAATTAATTGTTACTTTAATTTTAACATGTGTCTAAACTGCAAGTTGTTTTTTGTTTTTTTCAATACTCGGAGACTTGTTTTTAATTTTTAAGTAATATCTTGTTACTATAAGAACTATATTGATTATTACCACAATTTCTAGAATTTTATTATAAACTCAACTACTTCACAACGATTGAAGATAGGTATAAACACTATTATACAGAAGTTACTTCTTGGAGAATCTAAGGATTTAAAAAAATTCAGGATTTCCATTTAAA